GCGCACGGCCGTCGTGGAGCGTGTGGGGAAGGGGGTGTGCGCGGGGCTCCTGGACGACCTGCTGGAGCAGCGGGTGCTGAGCCCCGAGGAGGTGGACACGGTGAGGGACGCGCACGCGCTGCGCGCCGACAAGGCCCGCTGCCTCATCGACAGCGTGCGCCAGAAGGGCCCCCGCGCCAGCCAGATCCTCATCGAGAGCCTCAGAAACCGGGATGGCCACTTGGCGAAAGAGCTACGCCTGGATGCAGATGCGGGTGAGCCCTGCGGAGTGGCGGCCTGTCTGGGCCCTCCTGCTGGGATTTGCCAGGCACTGGCCTTGCCCATGCTGGGCTCTCCCTTGCCACTTACTGGGGTGCCAGAGGGAGGCCTGGCCCTGGTGGGGTGGTCGGGAGCCCCCAGCGTTGCTGGGCTGCGGCACTGCGTCCCTTGTGCCGCGCTATGGACATGGGGCTCCCTGTGGGGGCAGTTGCTGAGGGGCAGAGCTCAGCTCGCTCGCCCATGCGCACTCTGCCCTGTGCAGGGACGGTCCCCGCCTGCTGCAGCTCCTTCCTGGCGTAACTGCGGGCTTTGTGCTTGCAGGGCCCCCCGACACGCAGCTGGCCTCCCTTGGGTCTGATGTCACCCCCGTGCTCCCCACCAGCATCCAGGGCCAGCAGTGGATCCAGCGGTGCTCCCTGAGCGAGTATCAGCGCATCCGTGAGGCAGAGGGAAACCAGGTGCAGTGGGTGCAGGAGAGGAGAGCTGGGAGCACGAGCAGGCAGGGGCTGCCAGGGGGATAGGGCAAGAGCTTTGGGGAGATGCCCTGCGGGTACAGAGAGGTGGGTGCTGGGATGAGGGACCCAAGAAGCCCCCTCTGCAGTCTGCCACAGCTGAGCCCAGCCTCTGTCCCTGCTTACAGATCTACCCCCTGTACCTGCCCGCAGAGATGCGAACCCGCAGGGCCCTGCTCATCTGCAACATTGAGTTTGAGCACTTGAGCAAGCGGCATGGGGCCGAAAAAGATGTTGAGGGGATGACAAAGCTGCTGGAAGAATTAGGCTACAAGGTGGAAACCCACCGCAACTTAACTTCCCAGGTAAAGTATCGCACAAAGCAGCCAGCACGTGGCCCAGGAGCGATGCGGAGACCCTTGGGAGGACAGTCACTGCGCAGGAACAACCCTGTCCCCAGTGGCAGTGGCTCCTGATCAGGGCTGGTGGCTGGGTCTTTGCCAAGACAGCTGCAGGTCGCTGATGTTCCCACCTCCTGGTTCCTTGTAGGAGATGGCCAACGTCTTGAAGGAGTTTGCCCATTGCAAAGAGCACTGGAAGTCTGACAGCACATTCCTGGTGCTCATGTCCCATGGGGTCAGGGCTGGCATCTGCGGGACCAGGAGCAGAGATGGGAACACAGACATCCTATCCCTCGATACCATCTATGAGACCTTCAACAACAAGCACTGCCAGGTGCTGCTGGGCAAGCCCAAGGTGCTCATCATCCAGGCCTGCCGAGGGGGTGAGTCCCACGCACCAGCGGCACGGGAGCGCTGAGGAGGCCGGGCTCTTCCAGGGCACGTGAGCCCTTGGGGTGGCGGGAGAATGAGAGGCCCCATCGCTGACAAGTGCTCCTGCTTCCCTAGAGAAAGATGGGTCTGCGCTGGTGAGAAACGCCGACAGTCCCAAAACGGCTGGTGCCAGCTCGACTCGCATGACCACTGCAAGGCTGCAAGGCGACACGATCCGTGAGGTCCACCTGGAGAGCGATTTTGCCTGTTTATATTCGTCCACCCCTGGTAACCAGTTCCCGAGATGGGTTTCAGCTGCGGGGGAACTTGGGAGGATGGTGGTTCCTGTCCCTAGCCACAGACCTCCTGCGTCCACGTCCTCCTCGGGGCACGTTGGCCGAGTGTCCCTCCTGTGTGGTCTGGCACGTGCTGTTCAGGGAGTGCTGCAGTGACAGCTGGAAGAGGCAGTGCCCCCTCAGTGCCGTGTTAACAGCTGCTCCGGGATTCCCAGTTCTTCTCAGGGACAGCAGTTCCACATCCAGGCTTTTGTGCCCTCCTGATGCTGCCTTAGCTCAGAGCTGCTCTTCCATGTGCCTTGGAGCACCATCCCACCACGGTGCTCCCCAAAAAGAAAAGCTGCCTGGCCTCCCTGCTTGTCCATGATCCCACTGATTCTGCCTGGACTTCTTCCCAAGCAGATTTATCAGAGTGGTTGGCAGAGCAGGAATACACCGCTCAGCTCTGTCAGCCTGGCTGACAGCAGGAAGGTGGGTGGAAACAGAGAAAGGAGAAATGGGTGGAGAAAACCACATCACATCTAGCCTTCCTCTAGGATCCTCCAAGCCATCCTTTGCCCATCCTTCGGCCTGTGGGTCAGATGAACCAAACCTAACGATGTCAGAGAAGGTTCCCACATCTGCCACCCTAGCCCATGTCCTGTCCAGAGCTGCTGCAGCCCCCACGCTCATGGCAACAGCCTCTCCTCAGCTATGACTCCTTCAGCACCAGCAACCCCCATTCCTTCCCACGGCCCCAGCCTCGGTGGGAGCTCCATGGCACCTGGGTGCTCAGAGCAAGGTGAAGCCTCTGCCCCTGCCCCAGTGCTGGCCCCTGCTGTACCTTTGCAGTGACACTTAACGCCTTCTGTCTCCTCAGATACTGTCGCCTGGAGAAGCCCCCTCACTGGCTCCATTTTCATCCAGCGCCTGATACAGCAATTTAGAAGCTGTGCCCATAACAACCACTTGCGTGAGATCTTCCGAAAGGTGGGATGTTGGTGTGAAGCATGCGCGCCCGCAGGTGCAGCCTTGCTGATGGTTACAGTCTCTGCTCTGGGAACAGGGCCCTGCTCAGGGCAGAGCTCTAGCCAGGGCAGGCGACTTCTCCGCACGTCCCTAGGGCTGTATCAGAGAGGGCTCTGGGCCCTCCAGTTTGGCCAGGAAAACCAGCCTGCCGAGCAGTGCAGGGCAGCCTGCCACACAGTGGGCATGCAAGGCCTGGCGTATCAGTGCGGCCTGCCACATCCCTCCCATCGCCAGACACCGGAGCTGCTCTCATTTTCCTCTCATTTTCACCGCTGTCTCTCTCCCCTCAGGTTCAATCTTCCTTTGACAATTTTCCTCAGCAGTTGCCAGCAGAAGAACGAACTACTCTGATCAAAAAGTTCTACCTTTTCCCAGGCTGCTGATCTCCTCCTGGGGGTGAGTTATCTCTACCCAACACGTGTGCAGAAGCCCTTCACCCCCGCCCTTAGGATTCCTCTGCACCGCCGGGCTGCAGCGCACGCGGCTCTGGCTGCCTGTCTGTAGGGCTTGTAGCAAGGGCCAAGCAGTGGCCTGGCCCTCTCCATCTCCAAGCTGTGTGTCTAGAGGACAGGAGCTCAGGGAAGGGCTTCAGTATCCTGTAACTCAGTGGTTTCTCTTACATTCTTAACAGAAAAAAAAAAAAAGAAAAAAGAGACCTGCACAGAAAGGAAGTGGTTGAATTTGGTGGAACACCTTTTGCTCAAGGTGAACACGGCTCTGCTCCAGGGAAATACACTTCTTCAGACAAGCGGGAAGAGGAAAGGCCAAAACCAGCTTCGTATCTGTAATGTTCTGCCTCCAAAAAAGCAACACACAGAAAAGTCTGCATTCTCTACAGAAGCACAATGAATTGCCAAACTAAATCATGTTGTCCCCTTTTGCTAAACAACAGGAATATCCTCTAAATAAAATTGTCCTTGGTCTTCTTGGTTCTTTTTTGGGGTTTCTAAGTAACCTCGACCAGAGCACGCTCTGTTAGGGAACAGCAAAGACCCTGGCACAGGACACTAAATGCAAAGCTGCTTCAGTATCTCTTAACCATTCCCAAAAAGAGCTCCCAGCACAAGCATGTCCCCGGTCATGACAGGTACTACGCCTCGCCACCAGTGCCACTTCCTCCATGTCTCCAAATTTACTTTTTGCTTGATAAAGAGATTTTTCACAGCAGATTGCACCTCTCCTCTGCCTGTGCCCCTTGGGGGGGTCGGTGATCACCCCAGCTGGCAGCTGTTGCATCACCATCTCCTGGCTGCTGGGCAGGAGGTGCTGCAGCAGCTCGGAGGGATTGCCCGTGTTTGGGGACGAGCGGATGCTCCCGGGTGCCGGGCTCCTGCACACGGACTGCTCAGTGCCCGCCCGCTTCCCTGGCGTGTGGCTCAGGGCAATGTGGCCTCTTGTTTTCTCCATTTCCTCCAGTGCCCAATTCACCCAAGCGCAGAGCTGCCAGAGCAGACACCAGGGTCCCTTCCCAAAGCTCTGTGTTAGTTTGTCTGTTCCAGCTCAGAGGGCAGAACAGATGCCTCTTGCCCTCCCTTCCCTCTGCTTTTCCAGCCTTTGGGCCGCAGCCCCTTAGGCTGAGCCTGCTCTGTTGGCTCTCACTGCAGGGTTATGTAAAAGGCCTTTATGTCCTGCCCACGCAGCTGATTTTGGCAAAGCTCCTCTCAGGCCCCCGCCCCAGAGGATTTCCAAGCACAAGCCCCAAGCCTGAAGCAGTAGGTCGGTTGTCCACATTCCAGCTGTTCCCTCCTTGCAACAGCCCCTGGCCATCTCTAAACATCCCCCTGCTCCAGAGGCAGCTTTCCCCCTCCCTGTGCCTTGCCCAGCAGCATGCAGGGCACCGGCACCTTGGTAGGCCCGAGGGACATTCAGTGCATGCAGGGGACACCAGGAGTGCAGAAGCCCCAGACTCGCACTTGCTTCCCCCAGGACGTCACCGTGGCCCTTGCGACACCCGGGCACAGCATGGTTGCAGCGCTGGGCTTTGATCCCCAGGCAGAGGAGGGTCTCTCCATGCTACCCTCTCTTTCACAGGAAAGGGTACCTCAGAGGGAGGATGCGTTTCCCTCTGGGAGCCAGGAACGATCCGTAAATTTGCATCTTGCGTGTGATGCTCCCGGAGCCCGCTGTGTTACAGGCCAGGGCATCTCTAGCGTCCCATCAGCGTCCCCTCGGGTAAGCAAGGCCCCATTTCCTGCGCCTGCCAGCACCTTGCTCAGCCTCCATGGCACATCCAGACTGGCTTCTGCCTCAGCTTTGATGCAGCTTTATTGCAAGTTCTGCGCAGCCACAGGCAGCTCTGCAACTGCGTGCTCTGGAAGCAGGAAAACATTCTGAGCCCAACATGAGGGGGCAGAGCTGCCCCAACAGATCAGAGCAGCTTCCCGAGGGCTCTCCTGCTCCCTTATAACATCTGAGACACTCAAGTGCAGCCCCTGGCACTGCACATTCTAGAACAGTGTCCTGGGATGGTGACACTCTGCATCCCCACAGGCTACAGGGCTGGGCAACGGAGGGCAACTCACCCCCAGCTCTGTCTGACCCAGTGTGGGAGATGGCTCTGCAGGCAGGATCAGACCGCAAAGGCAGTGATGGGCTGGGAGGTTCTTCTCACACTGCCCTGGAGGCCTCACTGCCCTCCCAGAGCGCCTTGAGTCCCACGTGGTGCTCAGAGAAACTGGACACCCGGGCTCTACGGTGCTGGCAGGAAATTGAGGACGGCGGTCATGAATTCTTCAAACTTATCTTGATGGACTATGTGGCCGGCACCTTCAATGAACTGGATATCTGCCTTTGGGAAGAGGCGCCGGATCTCCGGATAGTCCTTAGGGCTGAAGGACAAGGGAACACAACACAGGAAGCATGATCAGAGTCTGTCCAGATGCCTTCCACTCCACGTGGGGGGATCTTAGGTCTGATCACAACTCCCTTCCCTGGAAAGGGAGGCCAGGACTCCCCCCAAACCTCCTTTGCCCTTCAGGGTGTTGGTGACACCCCTGCACGCACAGAGCTCCTTCTAGGACCTTTCCCATCTCTGAGCATCCTCCCACCCTTGGCAGCTGCAGGAGCAGAGTGCGGGGATCAGACCAAACCTCTGACAGGCACCTCTCCAGACCCACCTGATATAGGGTGAGTTGGATCCTCCCAGGAAAAGTGTGGGGCCTGGATACGGCTTGTGGAAGACAGGGAAGTTCATGATATCTGACAAGTGATGGGAAATAGCCTCCAGGTTTACCCGCCAGACGTAGCGGCCCTCCACCTCCACCAGGTTGGTGAGAAGGAACTGCCTCAGCTCTGCCAGCTGCCACAGAAAGGGGAACACGCCAATGTACACTCTCCAGCAGGAGCAATAAGCCCTCAAGATGTCCCAGCACCCAACCACGTTCTGCTGGAGGTGTGTGCAGTACTGTCCCCAACACAAGTGCAGGCCTGGCAACCTGCAGAGCTGGTGAGTAAGCAGGGGCAGAAAGAGTCCAGCCAGGACCATGGCCCTAGAGCCGTGAGCTCCAGTCCCAGGGACAAGATCGCATCCAAGCAGAGGAATCTCCAACCTGAACAACGGGACGCAGCTGCTCGTCGGCCAGCCGGCGTGCTGCGGAGCGCGGGAGGCCATCGGGGATCTGCACCGACTTCATGGCGGCGACGTAGGCAGAGAATTCAGAGACGGCCGCGGTTGTGCTGGGACTAATGTCCACAGCGATGAGGCGCTCCACCAGGTCTGGCTGGGGACACGAGCAGGACAGCTGGGAACGACCTGAGACCTCCCTGCCCTGCTTTGGGCAGCAGGACAGCCCGGAGGGCCGCGGATCCCTCCTCCCCGGGCAGCGACCCCAGCACCCACCCGCTGCAGCGCCAGCGCCATGGCGGTCTTGCCGCCCATGCTGTGCCCCAGCAGGACGCACTTGGTGACGCCCAGGCGGGCCAGGAGGTGCTGCACGTCCAGACTCATCGCCTCGTAGCTCATGAGTGGGCTGTGGGGGCTG